TTCATCTGTTAAGACCATACCAAAAAAGATTCAGGCATAATTAATTTATACTTCCATTTTTTCAAGTCTTTTAAAATATTTGATAATTGTTGGCATCGATTTAAAATTACAAATATCAAATTTCTCTTCCTTTTCAAGAATATTGAGATTTTCTTAAACTGACCCAATGAATGGTAGTTCTTCTGGTAGTACAAAAAGGAATTGTAATTTTTAAAATACATTCAACATCACTTCATGCTTTCCACTGACCAAAACCAGTGTCTAGCGATACACAGGTTGCAACTGTTTCACTCTCATTTAGTCAATCATGAAACCCTAGCGACATGAAAATTCAGATGAGTCACCATGTCCCCATTAATATTACTGAGCAACTTCTGAAGTGTAAAGCTGTCTGAAATGCAATTCTTGAGGAGAATTAGAGATGAGTAGGTTTTTATTGAATGTAGAAAGGCATCAAGAAGAAAAATTCTGGAATCATGGAGAATACTGATATGTATCTAATGCTGTACATTATTAAGATCACAGACAGACTCCTCAGTTTGGGATCTTCGAGAGCAACCAGTGATTCAAACCTTGTCCATCACATGCTGATACCAACTAATTCAAGGAAAAGAGTTGAACCATTTTTAGTCAGTTTTAAAATCTTTCTTAAACTATTCATGTCATACCTTTTTGGCAGCTGCCACTCTTCACCACTACATTTGCAAATTCTAAAGAGAACACTGTTCACAAGATATTTTAATTGGATCAAATTCAGACAATCAGATTTTAAAAAGCCATAATAGTTTAAAGTGTTTTCAAAATAACTAGTTCCTTGGCAGAGACTAAAAGACATATTTGTGTAAGTACACGCCTGCATGCTTGTATGCTCCTGCAGGTTTTTATGTCTGTTATATATTTTTACCTAAAACATGGAAAATTGTATGACTGCTTACCTGAACACCTCAATTTTTAACAATTCAAGGTGCTCTTTCTTTTCTCCTTAATAAATGAATAATAAAAAGCTCAGTTTTTTTCCATATCTCACTTTGCTCTTTTTAGTCCTGAAAATGATTTCAGAAATTATATGAAATGTACTAATCTGAGAATTGCTTTGAGATGGGAAATATTATAGGTCAAAGTGAAATGAAATGTTGAACCGAAAATCACACATAGTAAAATAGATTCAGATTTAGTACCTTAAATTCTCACTTTTAGAAAAAGAATTTTAGATGATGTAGATGTAAAATCCTTATCATTTTTTAGAGGTAATAATGCATTTACCTTAAGAACTATATTTCTAAGAAATCCTAATAATTGTAACTCAATATGTTTTCACTACTATTTCTGATATTCAAAATAGCCATTAATTCTGATTTAAAAATTTATGTTTCCCTTTGTTTCTCTATCCCCTCTTCTCTATGTGAGTGAATGTATAAAGATATATACAAATGAATATGTGCACATATATGTATAAACTCACATTCAAAAACACACATCTACTCACATACATACAAATATTCTCTATGTGAATAAACAAGGTTTAATTTCAATTATAACACTTTTCTGTGACATGGTATTCAGTCACCTAAATAAAATTTATTTTCTATAATTTTATATTGATAAAAACTCATTGATACTGAACTTGCTTCTGTTAGAATCCTCTTTTAGCATATATCATGCTTTTTAATTCTTGGACATCAACTAAGCAAATTTCAAAATATCAACTTATAATGTGTCACCCTAAATCAGCAATTTGGACTTATATTAATACTTCAGTATATATAAATATAATTGTTAGAAATGGTCTATATGACACACCAAATACAGTGAAGTATTAGAAGCCCAAACTGACATCAAATATGTTCTTTTATTTTAATTATTGTGAAGAGTGTAATCAAAATATCAAATACTTGCAAAATGTATACCTATACTGTCATTCTCTTAAAGGCAGTACTGTTATTACTATGGATCTTTAAACATTAAATTTCAATTATTTAACTTTTCAAACACTTGGGTTAGAGAATCTCCTTACAGTCTCCCTTTGAATGTTATACCAGTTATACCTTAAAAAAATGTAACAAACTAGAAATGTTTTCTTTTGTCCTGTATTCACATTGCCTAATTTTGTAAATTTCCTCATTTTCAATGGGCAAAGCAAATCCTAGAATAACTAGGTATTCAAAACTTTATTCTTTATATAATATCTACGGGAAATTTGGTATACAGAATAATACCATGTAATAATTCCTATAATATTAATGAGAAAAAAACATATATATTAATGAATTATTTTTGAAATTAAATATTTGTGATTTTCTCTGTTTTTAATAATACCTCAGTAAGTTTTAGGTAAAGCTGTAACCTATTGGCTTTAAGTTTTCTTTTCTGAGTGCTTATGGAAGATAAATTAAATGATTCAGTTCAACCAAGCCCACTGATCCACTCAAAGTATAATGATTGAGATGTATGTGTCTTTTATACTTGTTCCATTAATCATATTAATTATTCATAACCATCTAATCTATTCCTCTTTTATAGATATGAGAAAATTTTACTGCCTAAGTTATTATAGTATTCTCTCTCAATGTGTCTTATGCTCTGTATACACGACTTCAAAATTGAAACTTGTAAAATATAGAGGTAAAATTATTTAATTTGAAAATTGCTTGGTGTATGTTATGCTTGCTCACAGAATGTTATTCTAATGAGAAATCTTAGTGCTTTTGTTTTTCAAAGAAAGATGCAAAATGAATATTTTCATTATATCTAGATAGTGATAACTGAATATAAAATTAGGTGGAATGTGGAATATTCAATTTAACGAATTGTTTTCTTCAAAGCACTGTCTTAGCAAATTAACATTTATATCTATGTTTTCTGGTAAAATACTTATGGCTTTATTGGATAGAATTTGTGGCTCTAAAAACTTACCTTATAAAATCCTACTATAAATAAGAACAATGATTTTCTAGGTTCACGGTTCCTAATACTTGAAATTCAAATTCAAGTTTATTCTTTCTAATTATCATGAACTTGGGAAAATCATCTTATTTCTTGTCTCTATTTTGTCAGTAAGTTTTCTCTGAAGAAATATTTATCAACAGAGGAAATTTTACTCTGAGTTAACAAGTAAAGAGAATTTCAGAGTTCTCTAAAACAATATCTTAGAATTTGCTTTCCCAAAGTTTTTAAAAATCCATCTATAACTGTAATATACTGAACATCCTGTCATATATGGAGTAGAGCTACATTGTTTGTTTTTATTTGTTTGTGTTTCAAAACAAATTCCTATCCATTTAAATGTAGCTTTATTGCACTCCTTCACCTTCCTGAATGGGCCAGTACTGCTAAATGTACAGACTACTTTTTAGGGCACGGAAAGTTTGATCTACTTCAATATCTGTTGTACTTACTCAACAGCATCATTATAATATTTAATGAAACTATTCAATGTTTAATGCCTTTTCAACATATTCATTTTCACCAGTGCTAGTGCAGTTTTATGACTCTGTCTATATAACACATATGTTACTAGAATGTGTTTTTAAACACACATGCTTTTATGGGATAAAACTTCCTTTAATTTATTACTTATTGTAATGCTTAAAGCTTTTGAAGTAATATTTTGAGTAATTTAAGATCTCTGGAAAAGTTCTACACCTGCTTTCAAGTCCTAGTATTTTAACGATCTTTCTTCCTTCTTGGTGATTCTTATAAATAAAAATCATCATTCTATTCAAGAACTCAGGAGTAAATGAATGACTACACCTGGATTTTCCTTTTGTTTTTATGTTACAAGGCTTTAAGAGGATCACAAAATGTGAAGAGAACGCAGAATAAAATAGGATGAATTTATGTTACTTATACTCACATATATTGTAACAATGGGGGCCTTCAAGAAAAACATCAAGCCTTAATAAACTTTTATAGAAAAGTTTTATTTTATTTTAATTTTTAAGGGCAATTGCTCATACAGGTATCTTTCAGGGTTATATTATCTGGGAGTATGCCTCGAATTTTCAATGACACACAAAAAAAAGAGAAAATGAACTCTGTGAAGAACAATATCTAAATTGTACTGAGTTGGAGATTATTTCAAATTCAATGCATTGTCTGAAAACATTTTCAGTAGCATCTGCATTTAGGATCATGGAAAATTGGAATATATATTATCAAAGAGTAAATTATATTTTCCAACTGTTATAGCTATCATGAAATAGGGCAATATCTTTAAATGCTTATTAAAACTCTTTAAAAAAGTAATCATCTAAATTCAGATACTAAAAGAGCATATTGCCAGAACACAACCTCTTATCACTAGTTTATTCCAGCAAAAAGTCCTTGGCAGCCACAGTCTTTGCACATTATCATCAGTTTTACTAAGAACAGTGTACATCCAGAATTACTTATTGACAAGTTGGAAGTTTGTGACCACTTTTCCACTTATTAACATGTTCCTATAGTTGGTCTTCAAAATTAAGTAATCAAAAACTGGGTCCAAACTTATTTTTATGTAAACAAGAATAGTACAACATGAAATGTCTACCTTCATTTAGGCTATTACAGAAAGGGAGATCACCCAGAACAAACCCTACTCCTTTTATTTATAAATATTTGTATCACTTAATTTCAGTTAAGGTTAACAAGAATACATATCATTTCTTTTGAGGATGACAGCAAAATGACAAACAGTCCCTGTTATGCCTGTCATTATGTTATTGCTAAATCATCCACAACATCCTGACCTGATATTGGTTACCAGAGACAAAACCAAAACATGGAATTTAAGTTTCATTCTGATTACACACAAACAGCCAGTGCTTAAACACAAACCTTTGAGAAATAATATGTGTCCCAGAAATGAAGGAAGGAAGGAAGGAAGGAAGAAAGGAAGAAAGGAAGAAAGGAAGGAAGGAAGAAGAAAAGAAAGAAAGAAAGAAAGAAAGAAGAAAGGAAGCAAGGAAGGGAGAATGGAAGAAAGGAAGCAATGAAGGAAAGATCAAAAGGGAGAAAGAGTTCTAAAAAGCTTGATACAAATCCACAGTAGACCTTAGACATTCTCTATGCTGGTATAATAACTAAATGGCAAGTGACATGTCTGTGAGATCCCTGTTGCATGCTTTAATTAAAACTAAAAATTTACAACAAAAATCAAACCTTGGGTAAATTGCTCTTTGGTTTAAATCTTGTTACCTCCTGAAATTTTGGTAAATTCACTTTGCTTTTAAATTAAACTGGCCCCTCAATTTTTACTCCATTACAAAAGCCAAACACCAAGAACAACAGAAATTTCAGAATGAAAAGACTTTTGTTTGTGTATATGTGTGTTTTTAAGTCCAACCCCTGTATACAAACTGTTAAAAAAAACAGATGTTTTAACATAGTGCTTTATTCCAACTTAATCTCATCCTTGAATGAATTTCTTTCAAGTTTCAACCATTTAAAAAAAAAAAAAAGAGCAGTCAATTTCCTGGTGGTTGTAATTTAATTAAGTAACCTTTCACACTGAGCAAAACCCAAAAGCAAAAAGGTCATTAATCTTTCTAGTGATTAGAGACACCTCTAGAGCTTCAAACATTTACCTCTCCTTCCCCGCAGTAGAAATGCTTTTAGGAGGATCATGGTTCATACCTCACATTCCCTGGAGCCAGAGATGGTATATGTGCAGGGCCCAGATCCATTAACCGATATATCCATGGTCTCAGAGTTTGTAGGCTTGTAGTCCACATAATACTCCTGTAAAGGGGAATTCATTTGTCTTTCAGACTCTCTGGCCTTTTTCCGCCGCCTCTTCATAAGAGAGTGCTGCTGAAGTTGTTTCATGCTGGCTGGGTACCGTTTCCAAGACACATAGATTACCAAGAGGATCATGGCCACCGAGAGAAACAGAGCCACACTCCCTGCAATAATTTTGTGAAATGAAACGTGCTCATACTCTTGCTCTGTGCCAGGAATCTGAAACCCTGGGGATGGACTTGCTGTTTCAAGAGTGGGGTGGGTGGCATCTCGTTTGAAGATGGTAGGTTTGGGGATAATAAGAGGCTTCTGGGGAGTTTGGGGTACCAGGTGTGATCTTTCTGTGTTGACCACCTGGACTTCAGAACAGATATTATATGTTTCCACTGCATCGCTAACCTTTTCGCCCTGGATGTGCTTAGGTCCTGCACAGATCATGGTGCTTTCCTTATTTCCTTTGAAATTCTTAAGCCAATAAAATAGAGGACAAATGCTTCGACTGCATTCCCACATATTTCCAGACAAGGTAATGGATATTAATGATATCCATGCATTGACAGTTTCCTGTGAGATGTTGGTAAGCTTATTTGAATCCAAATTCAATTTTTGTAAATTGGGGAGGCATTTAAATGTGCCCGGCTCAATTCCTTGGATGTCATTCCCTGATAAATCCAAGTTGTGTAAGGAACTCCAAGTCCATGTCAAGCCTTGGCTAATGGAGCGAATCCTGTTCCACTGTAAGTAAATGGAACGGAGGTTGAAGAGACGTGGAAAATGAGCAAAGTTGATCTTGGAAAACTGGTTGTGCTCCAAGTGAAGCTCCTTTAATTTCAAAAGGCCAGCAAAAGCATTTCTGGATAAGCTTCTAAGACGATTGTAACCCAAATCCAGAAAGTCAAGATTCCGACAGTCTTGAAAAACTCTTATGGGCACAGTCTTTAGGGAGTTAGATCTCAAGTGCAAAATGATGAGTTTCCGAAGGCCTTTAAATTGTTCAGATTGCAGTGTCTGAAGTTTATTGTAGGACAGGTCCAGATTGCGGAGATTGGGAACTGGGTGAAATGTTTTATTGTGCAGATAGGTAATTTTGTTGGAGCTTAGAATTAATTCTTTCAGTCTACGGATCCCTTGAAATGCATCTTCATCCACTGAGCTAATGTAATTATGGTCAAGATAAAGCCATATAAGCTGGTTAAGGCCGGCAAACTGATTGGATTTGAGCTTCTGAATGCTGTTGAACCTTAATGATAAGCCTTGTGACCCTCCAGAAATGTTCTCAGGGATGTCTGCAAAAGCATGAGACTCACAGTACACAATTTTGCCATCACATCTGCAGTTCTTCGGGCAAGCTCTCTGAGCCCCCGCAAGCATAACAAGCAGCGGGGTTGAAAGTAGCACCAGAACCACACTCATGCCTTTCAGCTGAGTAATTAAATGGAAACCTACAATATTAAAAAAAGAAAGAAAGAAAGAAGACAGATTGCACATTGTGAAGCTATTAAAACACATCACCACCAGCTTACCCATATCAGGGACACATGTCTACTGTAGTAACAGGACATTTGACTTAAGGACACATTTAACATTTAAAGCATTTATTTTCTTTAGTATTGTGTGGTTAGGGTTCATTCTTTCTTCATTGATCTTTAATTTACTACTAAGAAAAGCCTTTCTGAGTTTCAGGAGTTGCTGTGCATCTCAACACTGAAAAGCACAGATCATTCCCTTTCACTGAATGCTGACATTTTAATAACAATAGTATTCGGCTAGCTGCTGTGTTGAGCAACAGTACCAAAAGGAAGTGTACTACATCTGTTACAGAAAAATTATGACTTAGTACACTAAGGTACTTGGATATCTTTTCTATTTGAGCAAACAAGCTGCGATTCAGCAACAGAACATCAAGGAAACTGTCAAGAAAATACAAGTTTGTCCTGCCTGAAATTGTATACTTATTGTATAGTGGAATGGCAACATATAAGCTCTGAAGAATGGCATAGGGACTAATTCAGGCAGTTCATGAAGCATTGTATGATGACTAACAATAGCATGAGGTCCTCTCAATTTGTTAAGAAGTAGATATCATTGCCTACTCTGGATCCATGTGCAGTGGAACATGAGCTAAGAGATATAAGTATCTGAATCAGAGAACACACCAAAATTAAGATTGCCAAATTCATATTAAACATTTGCATGAAATACAAAATAACTCTGTGTCTATATCTTTTATAGAGTTGCATTTGCAAATTTGAGGGATACGCGAAGAAACAAACAGCAGACTCTTATCCCCTTCCCTACCATCCGGACCTGCTCAAATTCCTCCCTGACTTTTTTTCCCTCTTCTGCCTCCATTAACTTTTGAAAGCCTGCAAAGTTACAATCTATTCACACTCATGCTGCATTTCCACCAAGTCATTGCATGTTAAGGGACTTCTTTCCTCTGTCCACAGTAGATTTAATATATCTTAACTGTAGGGGAAAAAAAAAAGAACTACCGGGTGCTGCAGTTTCTTTTTTTTTTTTTCCTTAATATTCATATTTTTAACCAAGAGGCAATCAGCCAAACCCCTAATCTAAAAACCCTCCTTCTCAGTTGTTTTTTTTTTTTTTAATTTAATACTCGATCTTGCTCTCTGTCCTCTTGCCAGCTACAGACTCATTGAAATACATTCCAGCTCTCCCAGACAGGAGAAAGTTGGGGGGGGGGGTTGAGGGGGGAACCAGTCACACTTGAAAAAAATAAGACTGGCAAATGACTGCTGGAAATTTGGAAGCTGTGCCCAGGATACGGCTTCAAAGATAAAACAAGCCCTTGCGCACCTTCTGATAAAGTAAGAACCCCACCCCTACACACACGCAGGAAAGTGTTAACAATCTTCCTGACAGCAACCAGAAATACAAGCGTGGCTAATATTATCAAGAAACAGAAGCAAACACAATATTTATCTCATGCTCAATTCGCAAGCTGTGGATACGCAGACAGTAGACACAGTCTTAAAGATATTTCTCTGGAGTCTGTTTAAGTCCATGTTATGCATTTATGGACTAAAAAAAAAGCTGTAAAAAGGAAAATGATCTAAAAATATAATAGCAACTCTAGTGAATCTACTGGCAAACTCAAAGCATGCTGTTTTTTTCCTGTTTCCTTGTCTTTTATCAGCTAATGCCAGGATGAGGATCAGAAAGCAAGAGGATCAGCTTTGCTAAAAAGGAAACAACAAAAGTTCACTTACCCATCCTTTGTCATCCAAAAATGTTTTCCCCCTGTCTCAGCTTTCTTCTTATTTGTTCTCTGGTGTTGAAACCACCACCACCTTCATGACACAGTGCGGCTGTCATTCACACCATTCTGATCCCGCATGTGAGCTAGTAGCCCCATACAAACTTCCCCGGAGAGGACAGGCAAAAATATATATATACATATATATTTAAGAAAAATCAGCGTGGGGTGGTATGAAGGGGCAGGGAAGAGGAAGCGTAGGGGGACTGGGGGCGGGGGGAAGAGGGCCTCTAGGCTCTGAGGACCATTGTGTAATTCACCAGAGACCCATCAGCAGTAATTGGCAATCTGTGCAAAAGAGCTACAGCTCATCTCGGAGGTAACCAACTTCTCTGTAAAAAGAGAGGAAAAAAAGAAAATCTTCAGAATACCTGGCATTCCTTATTGTGCTGTCTTTTGCCATTCCCAGATAAAGCAATTCATCCTCTGGATTTTCAGTTCTTGAAGCAAGTAGGCCTCCTGTGCTGTATGAGACCCCAGTTTAAAAGCTATGCAGGCTAGGTTTATCCATTTAGCTGGTCAGGTTTAAAGTGTTTTGTAGCTGTGCTGAGAGGCAGCCCTTGTCTAATTCAGAAGGCTTTCCAGAGACTGATGATGCTCAGAGCTTGTTGGTGCTAATGCTTGAGTTTGTGATACACTGAGTGCCCTCCGCTGGAGAAAACAGATTGCACATTAAAGACGGGAACAAGTGAGCTTGTCAGTGGTGTGCAGCCTTCCCTTGCTCAGAAAGGGAAATTAAAGGCACAGGATCACTTTTTTTTTCTCTCCAATAATATAAATTATGGAAGGTCTATGCCAAAGGCTTCTTTCTAGTGACAGCAAATATTAAGTAAAATACTGCTTCTCAAAATATTATATGATTAATAGTTCTTAAAAGTTGCCTTGACCTGAATTTTTTTTCTATACTTGTCACAGGTGATTTATCATCTTTTTTTCAAAGACAGAAATAATTTGAGTTGAATTTATCATGACTGTTGGTTTGTGTTTATTTACTTTTTAAAAAAGCTAACCAGAAAGGAAAGCAATATGATTCAGGGGAGAATACAATGTGATCAGTTAAATAGTTACATTTAAAATTTTTAGGATAAAGCTTTAAATTTTCAGTCTTGTCAATAGCATATATTGTGATATTTTGTGCATTTTATAGAGCAGTCATAGAACAAGAGTTCTATGACTAAATACTAAATACTAAAAATTTTAGTTTTTAGTATTAAGACAGTTATCTTCTACTTTAGTTTACCAAATATGAAGCTCACTAAGAAGAAAGGTTAGACAAGAATAGAATTCCAGCTTGACACCCTGAGTGCAGTCACTTACTTTACTTGAATTCATCTACATTTATAATCCAATTTTTTCTTATAAAAATCACTTCTTATAATGTTCAATTCTTGAAAAACAAAAGCAATCAAGTTCTATATTGTCATGATATTTCTCTAAAATGTGGAGAATAGTCTTAGAATTAGGACTGATAAAAGATAAATGAGATATGTAATTTTTAAAAACTATATACTTTCCTTAAACATGCAATTAACAATTAAAAAATAATAAGACAATGCATCACCTCCCTTTTGTTTCTTATTTTTACTAGTCTAGTTTATTTTCTAATTCTCTGGCAGATAACAACTTTTGGAATAATCCAGGAAAACAAATCAGTTTAATTCAAGGAGAGACTGCAAGGTAAACTGATAACCTAATTTAGCATTAGGAGGAAATTTAAATGAATTTTACATAAGCATTTAGAATTGCTGTGGATCCTTGCAAATGAATATTTTTAGAAATACCTTGGTTTTAGGTAATTTATCAACTATTAATAATTAAAATTGCTTATCATATGAATAACATACAAAATTTGATTCAAATTGATGAGTAGGCAGTCATAGGAAGTTGCCTAATTACCAAGATTTCTCAAGGAAAAGAAAGAGACAATATGTCCTTCAAATACATTCCTTTTCCATTAACTGATACCTGAATGTCTATTTTAGAAATGTGTGCTTGTGGCTTAAGGCTTAATACTTATTTAAATGCAAATGCACACCAGAAGAGGCAACATTATTTTGGTTAATAAAAGGATATAAATCAATATAAATGATTCACATACAGTTTGTTCAATATAGTGCTACTAACCTAGATACACAAACTCCACCATATACTCAGTGGTAGACCATTAAACAAAGAAAAAATAATATATTCATGAAAAAGGCCATGCTGCCACTAAAATTAAAATAAATAAGATAATAAAAGTAAAATAAATAAATAAGAAATTGTGACCACGATGTAGTATGAAGTAAAGGGGATGGAGAAAGAGATTTCAAGTACTAGAGGAAAATGCAAGGTAGTGGATTTGTTTCCATTCATTTTTTTCATTACACTGGGGGCAAAATAAAATGAATATAGAATTAGGATGTATTTGGTTTTATCTATTCTGATGTTTTTGTCTGTTTTCTAATTTCTAAATATAATGACTGCATTAAGTATGATATTTATATATCAATTGTGTATGTAGAAGTTTTTTTTTGTTTAAATCCACCATAATAGAATAGGTTTTGGCAGAAAATCTCAGGATGACAACTTTTACAGTATAATAATTGGCCAAAATGCAAGTTTTGTTTAAAGTATCAAGATATAACAAATACTGCATTCCAATGTAGATATTAGATTATATGCATATTTTTACAAAAGATGTAGATAAATATCACTTACAGATCTCTTGAACACATTGTGAGGATATAGTAGGATTAAGAAAGTTGAGAGAAGATTTTGTGTGGAAGATTTGTTTAGAAAAAACTGGGCTGGTATACCCTTCTCACATTTTTAGCAACACACACACACACACTTCACTCAAGGGAAACTGATGGATTTGTCAGCTCATTATCTTAAATATAGAGAAAGGGGCAATTGGAGGTTCCTTCAAGAACCTGGTACATGTTTGTGACAGTGAACCCAGCAGGCTAGAATGGTGTCTGATTTTTGTTTGGAAAATCCAAAAGAAATGTAAATGGGTTTTCCAGAACAAAAGAGAATTGCTATTGTACTGGAATTAGCTTTCACTTTCAGAATTTTTCTGGATAAAAATACATACATGCATCTTCCTTGGAAGAGAAGATGGCTATGTGATAAGTCAGCTTGGAATCATTTCAAAATCCTGATTAGACCCCCAACAGGAAGTCTTTTAGAGTGCATTGTCAAGCAAACAGACAAACATAAAACCAAAAGAAATCAATCAAGTGAGAACAGGAAATGCAGAAAAAAGTGTGCTGTCATTTTTTTAATTATTGGTTTCTGGAGCAGTTGATAGCCTATCCATGTACACATTTAAAAGAGAAATATCTTTCAATACCTCCTAGACTTAGAAAGCACACATTCTTTTCACAATAGCTCCAACCAACCCAGAAGTTTCATGGGAAGGGAAGGAACAGTAGCTAGAAACTGTTGAGAAAGTAGGCAAAGTGAAAGAAACTGAACATATCTCCTCTTCTCTCATGGGTAACAGATGCACACCTGCAATTGGCATTACCTGAGAGATGAGGAAAACCTCTTTGACTTTATATAAAGTATAAGGTTTGACTCATATAGTGGACCTAATATTTTTATTTGCTGACTTCAGATTTCATGAACCAACAGGACTGTTTTTGTTACGGCAGAACAATCCATGTCCTCAGTTTGGTAACATGAAATTGACCATGGTGGGAGTATTTATTACACAGAATCTTCAAAAGCTGTAAGTTAAGTTGTGATTTATTTTGTGTGCATCTAGGCCTGAGACAGTGATAAAAGAAAAAAAAAGAGATTCAAGTTAAAAGCGTATTGTGTTAAAAATGTATAAATATTGCAAAACTTTAGGAATAGTCTGCCAATATTTGAAAACTATAATCGGTTGAGCAAAGTCATTTGTGCCATTAACAAAAAAATGAAGTCTCAACATATATCCACATTGTTTCACATTTGCCTTACTCGTGCAAAGAATATCAGACAATAGTCATGTCTGAATTACATATTACCCATGGAGTAGTGAAGTAACCAGGGTAACTGGAACAGTCATTAGATGTGACTGACTTGAGGATCTGATCCCACTCTGCTGCTCCATATTTATGATTTCTTCTTTACTTATAGTACTGCAATGTCAGACCACTGGGATAGATCTGTATTTCTCAGTGGTGTAACACCATTTTGGTAGTACCACCTGAGGTTTATCTGTTTTGCACATTTTACATCTAATATGATCCTGTCAAATTGTAGATTTTTAATAAAATATTTAAAAATGAATGGCTAAGTTAGCTAGTCAAGTACACTGTCAATTAACAATCAATCAATAAGTCAAGTAACCAGTTTATTATTACAACCAATGTCATCTTCATTACCTTCCTTTTTCCTAAGATATTATTGGTTCTACCCAATTAAAAGGTTAAAGGGCTATGCCAGTTAAGAAATTTATTTATGTATTTATTTTGGTAATTGGGTTTAAACTCAGGGCCTTACATACATTAGGCAGATTCTCTACAACTTCAGCCATGCCCCTAGCCCTTTCTTGCTTTATTTTTCAGGTAGGGTTTCATTTTTTTGCCTGAGCCTAGACTCAGAGTACAGTCCTCCTACCTATTGCCTCCTGAGTAGCTGAGATCACAGGCATGCATCACCTCATCCAATTTATTAATTGAAATGGCAGTCTTGTTAACTTTTTGCCTGGTCTGTGCTTGAATCAATATCCTTGTGATTTTTGCCTTCTGAGCATATGGGATTACAGGTGTATACTACCATGCCAGACAAAGAAATTTAAAGTTACAAGCAAAAGATATCTTGATTCAAACTGATTGAAAGTAAAATGAAAAATTATTTTAGCTCATGTAAATGAAAATTCTATAGATAGATGTAGCTTAATCTAGTGATTAAATATATCACTGTTGTCTAGTTTCTTTTGATCCATTTTCTCAGGCCTAACTTCCAAAGTGTTATTTCCCATCTAGTTCTGGTTTCAACAACTCCCCTAGTTTCAGTCATATATATATATATATATTTATATATTTATATATAAATATATATATATATTTTATTTGAGAGGTAGTAAACATTTTATTACACTCAGTGGCTCTGGTGGGTCTTGTTCTTTTTTTCCTCCCTTGAATGATTTTCTGTGTCCAGAGAAATAAAGAGTCCCTTGGTGGTTTACTTACAGGTAATGGGTTCTACCCTTGGTTTGGTGTGGAGTATAGCTTTTACATATGGATTGAAAGTGGGAGGAAAATTAAGATGTGTGCATACTTCTGAAATATGAAGTCATTGTTATAAAGTGGCTGTCCTGCCAGGGCACACAGAGCACACCAATGGACTATGAGCAGCATCAGCAAGCATCAACACCAGGCCAAGTCAGTTGAGAAAGAAGGTCTTTTCATCTTTCTCTGACCAAAATCCAGGACTTGAAAGCCCTATTAAACTACTAGATTTTAGGGCATCTATACAAGTACTATAAATGTGATAACTGATAATGATGGCTGTGGAGAGAGAAAAAATTATATACCATGCAAATGACAAACCAACCATA